TCCAAGACCAAAATATCACATCATTAATGACGGAACCCACTGCCACCTAATTAGTGGGAGCACTAATTAGTGCTCCCAAGCATTTTTCAACAAGTTTTTATGTGAACTTTTTAAATTTTTACAAAAATTAAAAACTAAAAAGGTAAGGTGTCGTTTGGTAACACTTACGTTTTTTGTTTTCTGTTTATATTTACAAAAATTTTAAAAACTCAAATAAAAACTTATTTGGTAAAATTTTTGATTTATAAATCAGTGGTTACAGTTTATAAATTTGGCCAAAAAATGAGGAACACATGAAAAAGAAATGCTAAAAACTGTCCAGGAACATTAGAAAACATTTTGTAGGCCAAATTAGAGGCAATGGATTGCCTTTTCAATATAATGGCAGTAACAGTTAATAGAATTGTAATATTGCTGGAAGCAATGAGAGTAAATCTTGAATCCTTGATCAGTTCAGTTTTGCTGAATTTAAGATCATTAGTATCCACATGTGATGTGAGGATGCCTATGTGGGTGTGATTATAGTCTGTTTTTGACATTCATTTTTGTTTCTCTATTTGTAATCTCATAATGATCTGGGACCAAACTAATATAGCATACAACTTGCAGGATGCCATGATTCAAGATATTAACTGGCCTCTCTGTGGCAATTTTTTTGAGCTACCATTCTGTTCTAGGGGCACAGAAAATTCATTTAGCAAACGAAGGCAGAAGTTATCGACCGCCAAAGAGTTCTCGCAATTCAAAAGCAATGCTAGTAAATTGAAAAATTCTTTTTCTGATGATGAAATCTTCTGTAACATGGAAGAAAAAAATGATGATATATGGAATGGTAGGTTCTTTTTTACAATTTTTTTTTTTCAAATGTTTTCGTTGATAATTCTTATTACTGGTTTGAATTGGTATTTTAAGATAAGTTCTAGCTTCTACATATATTAGATGCGTCTACATTTGTAATCTGGTGTATAACATTCCTTGAAATTATATGGTTGATTTTCCAAGCAGCCAGTTGATCCAATTTCTAGTTCAATCTATGTTGTTTAGGTCTTCAGCTTTAATGTACATTGACATTCTGAAGGTTCAGCTTGAGATATATGATTTTATTATCAACTTCTTATGATAAACTGTTGGCACAAGTTTGGGCATGTTTAAAAACACAATTGATTGCTTAAAATTGAACATATTCATCGGTGAGTGCATTTGATAACCCATAATCACCTACACCCTAAAGTTGAAAATTCAGTTAAATATGGTCTTAATTTCAAGTTAGTGAGACTCGACTTCTTGTTGAATGCGGAATACATCAGTAGAATACAGTTTTTACATTTAATCTTATCTAAAATATCTATCTTCAAGTTTGTAACTCTGAAAGTATTTAAATATTTCAGCACTGCTAATTCAGTATTAAAATTTCAGGACTTGATATTTGTTAACAGTGTCTAGTCTTAATCTTGCAGTTATACTTAGGTGGTTGCTTTATAGTACTATTCTTTAATGGTATTTGCCATGCATATGAAATGCCACTTTGATCCTGCTTGTCAAATTCCAACTTGTTATGATCAAAAAGCCAAATGACAGAAATCTTACTCTATTTTCAACAGCTAGGTCTAACTTCCTAGATCGAAATTTTCTTGATGGAGACTGGAATTTAACATGGAAGAATAGGTCACCTAAAATGGATGGCAGTTCTGCTGATTTTTTGCACCTAGGAAACCATGAAATTTGAGACTTTGCTTTTGAATAACCCTATTTACAGAAAATTAGGTATTTTATGTAGAACTGACCTTTCTTTCCTACCTATTTTAGAATGTCATTCTGTTAAGTTCTTTGACCAAGTTGTTATATCTGTGTAGGATTGCTGAGAAAGTGATAGGCAGATTCCATATCTCAGGTTCTTCCTGTCTCAACATGAGTACAAAGTTTAATACCATATTTCTGGTCTTAATTTTCAAAGGATTGATATCTATAAAAGAAAAAATTGGAACAGTGGAAACCCAAGAAGCATGAACACAGACACACATGCTGATATGGTGATTTCAAAAAAAATGGGGACATAGACATATTGGTGAAACGGCAATAAAAAAAAATATTTATATATATTTGCTATGTAAATTAATATTACATCCATAAATAATCAACATTAACAAAAACTAACACTAATTCAATATAATAAGAAACCCTACTTTTAAGTTAACCCTTATTGTTTATGTTTTTTATGAATATGATCTATGAATTATTTAAATTTAAGCAAAAAGTAGTAAACATTCAACATCTAACTGTTAAGTTACCAATTGTTTCAAAAGCTTAAGCTATTAGGAAATTGGCCCAACTATGTATATCAAGCTATCTAACACTTTCTCTCATGTGCAGCCCCCTCTTGCACATAGAGAGACAAACGTAAAATCAAACATAAGGAGAAGTAGACAACCAAATGAGGACCTAATGCTAAATGCCAACAAAGAGACTTGAACGCAAGCCCTCTCTACCGGAGCTCTAATACCATGTTAAGCCACTAATTGTCCCAAAAGCTTAAGCTGTTAGGAAATGGGCCCAACAATGTATATCAAGTTACTAATACTAACATCCATCAAAAGCACTAAACAAGATGGGGAAATAAACTAGTTGACGTGTCCCCAGTGTGTCCTTTGGGGTGTCCTTCGAAAACAAATTAATTAAATAAAAGGACACGACATGACCTCTTCTATGTCTCCATGTCCATACAATGTCCCCATATCTGATATCACTGTGGCATCTGTTTTGGAGTGTCGGTGGTTCATGTTTCGAAACAAATGAGTTCGTTGTAATTTTTGCAAGTAAAATAAAAATTGGAACATTATGCCTTCAAAGGTGTCCACTGTCTCATGACCAAATTAGTTGATTTACTAGTAGCTCATGTAGATCTGAGAACTCTTTTTGGCAGTGGTCTGTGGATTCTAGGGTGCTTTTTTTTTGTTTTTTTCCCCACTATTTTTTGTTTGTTAACGGTTACTTAACTGGGTTTGCAAATGATAATTACTTACTGGATGAATCAATATTCTGTGGTTAAGACTTGGCCTAATAATCTTGAGGTTATGAGTTCAAGTCTTGGGGCCATCAGTTTGTGCATTATGCCAAAGGTTAGGTGTGTACTCAATCTTTCCCCTCCCAAAAACACTTTAATGTGTACTAATTGGGCGTTGTTTTTTTTATGAATCAATATTCTGTTAGCTTCTCATATCTGAAGAACTACTGTAATTGTATTTATCATGGTGAAATGCATATATGTTTTTTGAAGCTTTCCAGGAGAACCATGTTTATCATACTGTAACTTAGTATGCTAGTCTTGGGAAATGAAAACTTGAGATTCTTTTTTTTTTATTTTTTTATTTTTTGGTAATAAACTTGAGATTCATCTCTTCAATTCTTTTGAGTTGTGTAAACCTTCTTTTGTTAAGGTTTGTAATGGGGAAATTTCGATGTCTGACAGTTAATTTCTAGGTTGCCAGGAGGGAAACAATCTTGTATGCACCTTCTAATACCTTTGGATTTGGATTTAGAATTACACAGAATCTTTTTGGGGATGCATTTTTTTAAGTTATTATGGTAATGCCATGCCAATTATTTAGAACTTCTTTAATATATATAACCACAAATTGAGGTTATACTCTATCATCATTTAATAGATTGGCCATTTTTTAGAAAATGAAGAGGACGCAAATTCACCATACAATGGATATTTACCCGCCTCTACTTGTAAAAGAGAAACTTATTATCTACTTTCAAGACATATTCTGGCAATCTTCCATTGAGAATTTGGTGACCTTGGAAAATGATGGTCAACTCTTGGTATTTACTCATTGTGTTTTGACACTTTTCATGATACGTAATCTCCTTTTAAAAAAAAATATTGATAGACCGTGGATCATGTTATTTTGAGATTATTATTATTATTTTTTTCCTCCTATAAGTCACCATGATTAAGGGGTTTTTTTTATTTCTATTTATTTTGATAAATGTCAAATTACCAGGAAAGGACGTATAGGAGACTAGAACACACCTTCCTTCCTTCCTTCATTCATTTTGTTTTTTTCCCAAATTACAGAGGCGTTCTTTTTAGAAATTCAGATCCTCTAGAGTGGGCTTAATTGGGGTTATCAATTAAATTAAATAGAAACAATTTAAAATTAAATATAAAGATCGAGCTAGTTGAAATTATAGGGAGTAAAATAACACAACAGACAAAATATAGGGACAATTGATGTAATTTATCTACGAAAAAAAAGATGGGGTTTATATTGTTTTTAACCCCACTTTATTTACACTTTATGCAGAATTAGTTTGTTATTATTATGGCTCGAATCATTTAAAATGACGTTTTGAGCATTGTGGGTGTTGATTTCTGACCACAGAACCAAACAGGGAACTTAGCTGGAGAGCACCGACAGAATAGATGGAGTCCAAACAACCTGCAAACAAGAAGACAAGAATACCGCGGTGGCTCCTTTACCCGGGGGTACTCCGACGATCAAGTCAGTACTCTTATCTCTCAAAGATAGTGTAAAATTCAATGTATAAAAAAGAAGTAGAGAATTGTATTATTGATTGATATATATTGTGTTTACAATGAGTCCTATATATAGAAGATTAAAGGAGGTAGGTATGTAGTAGGTGGAGTAGTAGGTGGAGTAGGTGAAGTGGGTAGAGTAGGTGTGGCTCCTTCACCCGGGGGCACTCCGACGATCAAGTCAGTACTCTTGTCTCTCAAAGATAGTAATCTCTACTCAATTCTCTAGTATGAGCATAAAAGCATATATCTCACAAGAAAACTTAATACCTTAGACCCATGAGGGTGCCTCATATTTATAGTAGTCAGTGCCCAACTCTCCTAGAAGTCTCGCTTCATGGGACTCAAGCTCATGGTGCTTATCTCTGGACCCCTAGCTAGATTAGAATATAATGTAAACAACATGAAAATCAAAATCTGAATGCAAAATACAAAATGAAACGGTACACAATATGCCTTCAGACAACCCACAAGACCAAGCCACCTCTTCCGCCTCTCCAATGGCGTCACTATCTTCTCTCTTCCTCTCCAACCCTCGCTCTGCCTTCCAAACCCTAACCCTAACCCTAACCCTAACCCTAAACCTAACCCTAACCGTCAAATTCACCTCCCTCTGAGAACCCAAACCCTAATTTTCTCCTCAAGCTCCTCCCAAATCTCCACCGATTCTCCACCGCCACCTCCTCCGCCGCTGGAGAAGAAATCGTTCGCGGTGGCCACCGGCGAGCTCTTCCTGGGAATTGCAGCGCGAATTATAAAGAGAAGGAATGGGATTGATGGTGGGGACTCGAATTCGGTCCCGATTACGATGTTTAGGGATTCAGAGAGAGGGTCGTATTTTTGGAGGAGGACGAAGGAGGGGATTGCGTCGGTGGTGGAGGACCCGGTGCAGCCGGAGGTGGTTTGGGAGCAGAGGTTGAAGGATGTGGAGGCGGAGAGGTGTCGGAAGGCGGTGACGAGCCCCGGGTTTAGCTTCTCTGCTGCTGGGTTTCTGTTTCCGTACCATCTTGGTGTTGCTCAATTTCTTATCGAGAAGGGTTACATAAAGGTTGGAATTTTTTGAATTCTTGGTTTCTTTGTCAGTTGTTTCGTATATAAAGTTAGGATTGTGTGTATATATGTGGTGATGGGTTATTTTGTATTATCTAAGCTTCACAGAACCTGCCACTATATGAACTTTTGAAATTGATGCTCACAGAGTAGAGTTCTTATCAACTATGTTACATAGACTCTTAAAAATAAGACAAATACGATGAAATTCTTATATATTTGTATTCAACACCACCATTATATGTATATATATATATATATATATGGCTGTATAATTGTCATAAAACAAGTGAAATTATTGTTTTACACATTACATATAATACTATTTTATCTCACATAATGGAATAAAAATATGAATTCTTTTTTCTTTTTTCTTTTTTGTTGAGTTCCCATACTGTTAAATTTGAGGTTTGATGGGTCCGACGGGTCACCTGTAATCGAGTCCATTTAACATTGCTTATCAATGTTTATCTTAGGTTTGGGGACAACATTGAGCAGCCAAAGACTGAGATTAAAATTAAGAACTTTACATTACTTTTGAGGAGAAGAAAACATGGTAGAATTGGAAAATTGAATCCGAGTGACCTTTTTCCTTTCCAATTCCATGGACTAATGATGTCCAAATTTCATCAGATGCAATTAGTCCATTTAGCAAATTAGCACTGAAGAAAACAGGGGCAGGGGTTCCCTTGTCCAAGACCCCTTTTTGAATCAACTTACTGCTTTGCCATTGATTATAGCAATGAAGTTTTATTTTAAGACTTTAATTTCTCTCAAAGCCTTTCTTTAAGAAGATATAATCAAGTAACTTGCACTACTTAAAAGCGTACCGAAAATTTGTCTGCCTTCTGAAGCCACTTGAGAAGCAGGGGTAGTCTCATGAATGACCTCATGCAACCTTCTACACACCCTCCTTATCACCATATAAATGCTAGTCACACGACTTGTGGGTTTGAAATTATTTGTAGACTGGCACTGATCTTCGTTTTCTGGTCTTCACCATATCATATTGGGAATGAATAGAAATTGTAAGCAAGTTCTTTTGCAATAATTACTTATTTACAGTTTTTTTTAGGGGTTTGTACAGTCAGTTATGTGGTTGAGACTTTGACCTTGTCATTCGCTGCAGTTATTGTAATCTTGTTGATTGCTTGATTATATAAATAAAATTAGAATTGAAGATTTTATATCTGATAACCAAACCAAACCAAACCAAGCCTTAAGTCACATCAAATGGGTTCGGCTACATGAATCCTTCTTCTCCATGCGGCATTATCAAAGGCCATTTCGCTAGTCAAATTAAGCCTTGATTTTATATCTGATGTGGTCTAAAATTTCCTTGGGTAAGATTTGGGTGATTCTTGAGCGTGCGATAAACGTGGAAATTTTCTTGGTTAAAGTTTGCTTGGCTAGTTCTTTGAGGATTATGTCAGTAACTCGGAGACTTTTAAGTGTTTATATGTTGAAGAAAATATGATTTTTTCTGTTGCTCATTCTTTTATGTTTTGCTGATAATGCTACTTTCGATTATAAGATGTTGATCAGGATTTTAGAGGACTTTAATAGGTTCTACATTGATTCAAACTTAGCATGTAGCATAAGAAGTTTATGTGTATTTATTTATGTGTGGTATGGAGTATTGAACATAAGATGCACCCTGCCACTTTGAACAATTTATTTGAATGTGTTTTTGTATGCAGCCCCTCAATTGTTTGATATTGTTGTTTCCTCACAGTTGCTGTAACACAGATCCTTTGGAGGCCTAGAGGCTTGTTGGTTGATCAATTTGACTCTAAAGAAGACCTCATCAATGCAGTCTTTACTTCATCCTTTATTCCGGGGTACAAATTTCTGTATTTCAAGTACTTCATACCTGGATTTATGTGTATATATATTACCAAACCCACATCTTTTTAAAATTTATTTCTCAAGTCCAAATCTTTTTGAACTTATTTACCAAATTCAAGTTGTTTTTGAAGTCGTGTTTCCAATGCATGATTTTAATGTAAAACTGCGTTTTGAAAATATTTAAAAATAACTGAAAGTGAAGTCATCTATTGATTTCTATGGTCAAAACATTGCCTAGCATAAAGGTGCCAACTACTTCAATCCATACCATATGGACCAAATCTGATGTTTGATATTGTTGTTTCCTCACACTCCTTCCTCCATACAAACCTGCACACCCCCCTTCTTTCTCACACTATATAAAAGCTACATATAACACCGATCTTCACATGCTGTACCACCTGATTGTCATCTATGCTAGACAATCCAAGTCCCAGAGAGAGAACTGGATAATTGAAATTGAGAGCTTAGAAAGAGAGAAAACTGAAGGGCTATGTATGAACACCCTAACATTTGCCTTCCTGCCATGCCAGTGAAGTTGATTTTTAGAGAGAGAAAAAATGAGCATCGGAAAGTGATTCTGTTTTATATAATATATGTACTCACTTCTTCATGATGGAAGTAAAAAGGTTGATAATAGGGGCCTAAAGTGAACTACTTTACCCATGTAATATCTTTGGTGATAGAGGCTCTACAGTCCTGCCTAAGGCATAACTGGAAGAACATAAACCTTGTAATTGTGGGATTCAGGCCTCGTTTGGCAAGTGGTGATTTTAGCCAAAAAGTCATTAAAAAAACCAAAAAGTCAACAACATATACCAAAAAGTTAGATTTTTTTTTCTCTCTCTACTTTTTGCACTTCTTTTCATAAAAAATAAAAAAATCATCTCAAACATACTAGTTTTTTTTACATCATATTTTAGTCAAAAAGTCAAAAAATTACTAAAAAAGCCTGTTTTCAAATGAGGCCTAAATCATGACTTTAATGAAGTCGTGGAACTGAAACATGGTTTCATTCAAGTTGTGATTGTGAACAACTTCAGTTTGCAATATATTTCTTTTCAGTTTGCAATATATTTTTTTTAAAAGTTGCGTGTTGTAGTTTATGCAATGAAGTTGAACTAGAAGTAATTCAGTGCAGATATCTTGCACCAAGACCAGCAACAATGTTCAGTAATCGACTTTGCATTGATGGGGGTTTGACATTGTTTATGCCACCCACGTCTGCTACTCAGACGGTAATGATTCTTTCGGTGAAAACAGAATTTAAATAACCATGCATTGCATAGTTTTGTTAGTTGATGTGGAATCACAAATATATAACTATCATAACTATCACTGGTGAGAGAAACCCGTTAATGGTATCTGAAGTTGTTAATGCATGAATGCTGCATAGACTCACTTAACAGCAGCGTATTCATTTAGCTTCTCTTGACAAGTATGTCAAGAATTTTTAATATATTGATTATGAAATTGTATTACTATATTTGGGCCTTCCTGCCTTCAATTCTGACATTAAGGGGAAGGTCTCTTTGAAGATTTTGTTTTGTTTTTTGGTGTTACCCCCATTGGAATTATGTGAATGTTTCTGTATAGAAAGTAACAAATCTAAGGTTTCATTCTGACCTATGAAGCACGGGTACGAGTACTTGTACTGGTACGATACAGGTACGTCGATACGGCAAAATTCAAAAAAGATAGGGTACGGGTACGGCTTGGAACATTTGTAAAAAAATATTTATTTTCCTGATCAGTTTACATGCTTTCATTGCAGATATCAAATAAGGTGGAGGCACTACCCCATTACCCACAAACACAATCTATTTCTGTTCTGGTAGGTTAAATACAACTCTTTTTGTCACACAGTCTATGGTGGCACAATACTTGGTCAACCAATCCATGCCCAAAATTACATTGAAATGTCTAAAGTTCAAGGGCAACAAATCTACATATAGGGTAGCATCCTCGATATGCATCTCACAAAACCGATATATATAATCACATAACACAGATTCCCCCGATGGAGCAGACACACATAACAAATATGGTAATAACTCTAGGGGTCTATTCAGTCTAGGTGCAAATGTATGTGTCACAAATGAGTGCGTTGATCCAGAATCAATTAATACAAAGGCATCCTGATTACATATTGAAATAATACCTGAGACAACGGCATTGGCGTTCCGTGTATCGCCCGGAACAAGTGCAAAAACTCTCCCCTATCTCACTGTATCCCCAGTAGTAGTAGATTTCAAGGTGTTCCCCAGCTTCGGGATTGATGCAGTGGAGCTAGCTACTAGTTTCCCACTGTTCTGATTACATTCCTAGGCTATGTGCCCTTACTTCCCACATTTGAAACAGGCTCCCGATGCACGGTAACAGACTCCACGGTGCCTTTTACTACAAATGTTGCACATGGGAGCTGTGTCTCGGGAAGAACTCGAAGTATTTGAGGAGCCCGGGTTTTGCTTTTTCAAAAATTTCTTCTTTGAAAAGAAGCCTTGCCTTTTATTGCCCTTCCATTCTGTTGTTGGCTTAGCTTGTCTAGCTATGTTAGCTTTTGATATGATGGCCCTGGCTAGCACCCCGATGTAGGTTTCCAGCTTGAGGACACTCACCCTCTCTAAGATGTCACTGCCGAGTCCACCTTCAAAATGTCTTGCCTTCTTATAGTCTGTGTCAATTACATGTGGGGCAAACTTGGCCAATTCAGTGAATTTGGCCTCATACTCAGCTACAGTCATGCTATCTTGCTTGAGTTCCATGAATTCTGCTACTTTCCTGTCTCGGACGCATTGTGGAAAGTACTTGTCATAAAATATTTCTAGAAACTTTACCCAGTCGACATCCTTATGATTTTCTCGCATCAACATCCACCATCTTCTTGCTTCGTCTTCTAGCGTAAAAGTGGCTAGAAGCACTTTCTGAGTCTCTGAACAGGGGAACACTTCAAATAATTTCTCAATGCCAAGGACCCATGCTTCGGCTTTCAATGGATCTAATCCCCCGTGGAACTGTGGTGGTTTCATTTTCTTGAATTCCTTGGTGAGAGCTATTATCCGGTCATCATGTTGATTATCTGGCACGGGTGGTGCCAGAGGTGGAGGTGGCGGGTGTGGTTGCTGCCACTGTTGTTGCCACTCCTGTTGTTGCCTCAAAGCCTCTACCATTTCCTGAATCAGTCTTTCCATTCTGTCCAGTCTGGCAGTAGAAGATTCCTCTATCTCATCACCTTGGGCCCTCACCATCTGATTAAACTTGCATTATATTTCACATAAAAGGTACACAAGTATGCATACACTAAGAAGCACATATTTCCAGGTGATTTACAATGCAAGTAGTTCACAACTTATGACATCCAATTGTTCATATCAAACATTTAGGCATATAATCAATGCTTTCAAATTCATATTTATCACATGAATGCATCCTAGATCTTGTCTAGACGCTTATTGCTCTTTTTGGACAAGTGTGTGAGTTATTAACTCGTGCTCTGATACCACTCTGTCACGACCGAACCCGCTCCTATGGGTTAAGGACGTAACCGGCTAGTAATCTTGAGATTACCTGCGGCCTCAAACCAAAACAGACATAACTCAATAGAGTAAAGGGGCCAAACGGAAGCAATAATCAAAAACTTTGTCTATAGAGCCGTGCTTATATGCACTTCGAAACAAACCATACTCATATACGTTAATAACCCACGTCAAAAGTACAGTACCATAAAATTCTTTACAGACAAGATCATCCAACTAAGTCAACCCATGATAGACTATTTACAAATATACATAAAGTCCTTGCCAGCAAAACACAATATAGTTACATAACAAAATGACAAGGATAGGTCTCGTGCGTGAGACACAAGGCTGACTTTCTCAAAACTCATGTTGTTCCTGGCAGACTTCACTGGGGCTGGGTTTGGACTTCCCTTGCCTCACCTACAAACACATGAATGAGTGTGAGCGATAGCCCAGTGAATAATATCAAATACAGAAGTCATATAAATAATATGTAAGACAACGTACTCCAAACGGCCTTGGGCCCAATTCATATTCCTACTTAACATATGTACATTTATGCAAGGTTTAGATCGAGTGACTGTAGTTCCAAACATACTGGCCTTCGGTCCATTCATTTATGTCAAAACGGCCTTCGGCCCATCCATTTATGTCATAACGGCCTTTGGCCCATATATTTGTGGTAAAACAGCCTTCGACCCACTCATTCGTGTCAAAACGGCCTTCGGCCCACTCATTCATGTCAAAACGACCTTCGGTCCATCCATATATGTCAAAACGGCCCATCCATTTATGTCATAACGGCCTTTGGCCTATATATTTGTGGCAAAACAGCCTTCGACCCACTCATTCATGTCAAAACGACCTTCGGTCCATCCATATATGTCAAAACGGCCTTCGGTCCATTCATGTACATCAAAACGACCTTCGGCAAATAAGCAAGTTACATAAGCAATTTTTGAAACAGTACGGCAAACGGCCTTCGGCCCAATCATTTATATGAATCTGCCTTCGGCCCAATCATTTTCATCAATCGCCCTTCGGCCCAATCCTTTACATCAATCGGCCTTTGGCCCAATCATTCATTTCAATCGTTGTCCAGCATTCAATTTAATGAAATTGCAAAACTTACATAGAAGTAACAATTGGACAATAACATACTACAAATATCTTTTTAAGATATTACTCACAGTGCTCGGTTGGCTAGTTCGCCCTGGAACTCGACCCTATACATGCCATGAACATAGAATGGTCATTAATAATTCAATCCGTTCAAAATTCACTTTATTCCTCTTTAGGCTTCATTCTTATCTCTTTAACTCATTTACAATGCTTAACATATGCCTAAGAGTGCTTACAAGTGAAAGAGAACGGAAAACGAAACACAGAACGAGCATACAAAATTTCAGAGAATAGGGTCCCCGCTCGAGCAGACCCTTAAGGCCTGCAAAAGTACTGGTTGCATGAAAAATACGCTCGAGTGTGGGATAGAGCGCTCGAGCAGAAGGCCTGTCTATAAAAGCTCCCCGCTCAAACGTGAGATATCCCGCTCGAGCGGACATCCAACTCTGCAAAAAGTGCTGGGAGCACGATTTTCCCGCTCATGCGGCTCTTCCCCCGCTCAAGCGGACATCAAAAATCTAGGTTTTCCGGATTGAGTTCTTGAGCTCCAATTCGAATTTCAACCAGCAGAACATACATGTTATGGCTCAAATCTCAAATATAGTTATGCTAACATGCCATAAACACCAAAACACATTGAAATGGAGCCCAATTCACAATTAATTCGCATGCATGCCCCAATCTCCCATCAACTCATTCTAATACAAACAAAATCATACATTCAAAGCTCATATCTTAATTATTCAAACATGCTTGCTAATCTTGATTTCATTTCCATCCCAAACAATGCAAATGGTGTTCATTCTCATGGAATACAACAAAAGCTTGCTTACATGTAAGATTTAACACCTTTATTTCCATGTTTAACTCAATACATGCTAGATTATGCATTTCCACAACAATTATATACATGCATGCCTTCATTGACCTTCAATTGAACACAAACAACTCAATTTCCTTATAATCAAGCTAACTCATGTTCTTGGCCATTAACCACACTTGAATTTACAAATTTGCAAACAAAAATCCATGAGTTTACTTACCTAAGAGTTCAATCTCCCAAACTATAACAAAATCTTGGGTTTGATCTTCAAGTTCCCCAAACTTTGAGCCAAAATCCAATTCTCCCCCTCTCTTTCTAACAGCCGGCCCTCCCTTTGTTTTTCTTAGAGTTTTGATCATCCAAGGGAAGTTATGAGGAGAGAATACAAGGTGTAGTGTCTTAACACTACCAACCCCACTAACATCAATTTAATAATAATGAATAATTGGCACTAATTCAACAATTAAATCAATTTAATCTGACCCGAATCAATTTCCAATTAAATTTCACCGTAGGTTCTAAAAATTATGCCAATCACAATGGCGTAATTGATTTTGGGTTTTGTGGCCAATAGGGCCCTCAATTTAATTCCCAAGGCAGATTATTCAACAGATATTCCTACGGTGAACAGATAGAACTTCAAAACCACATATTTTCACATAATGGAACATAAAATCATATCAAAACACATAATCACATCACATTAAGGACCAATTAACATACTACGAGACAGGGGTATCACAAATGTAATGAGAATTTATTGAGTAATTTACTAAGAATCTATCGATGATTTACTGAGTAATTTATTGAGATTTTACTGCGAATTGACTAAGAAATTTATTGATAAATTGTTAAGTTCTTCACTGGGTAATTTAGTTAGAAATTTTTAAGTAATTTATTGAATAATTTACTGAGAATTTATAAAGTAATTTGCTGAGAATTTACAGGAAATTCACTAATTAATGTTCGAATAATTTACTGAGTAATTTACTGAGAATTAACAAAGTAATTCACGAATTTTTTTTAATAATTTTATGAGTAATTTACTATGAATTTACTAAGTAATTTACCTAGAATTTATACAAAATTTTCT